TCGCTCTTGCTCAGGCTGGTCTCGAACTCCTGAGCTCAGAACGATCCGCCCGCCTCGGCCTCCCAGAATGCTAGGATTACAGACGTGAGCCACCGCGCCCGGCCAGCCAAAACAATCTTGATAGAGAACAGCAAAGTTAGAGAACTCATACTTCCAATTTTAAACTTACAAAGCCACGGTAGGTAAGACTATGTAACACTAGCATAAGGATAGACAGACAGCTCAATGGAATAAAATTGAGAGTCCAGAAATAAACCCATATATTTATGATCGAGTGATTTTTGACAAGGGTCTAGAGATAATTCAATGGGTGAAAGAATAGTCTATTCAACAAATGGTGCTGTAACAGCTGTATGTCCATATGTGAAAGAATGAAGCTGGACCTCTATGTCATATCACATACAAAAAATAACTCGAAATGGATTCAAGACCTAAATGTAAGAGCTAAGAACTACAAAACTTTTAGAAGAAAACATAGGTTTAAGTCTTCATGACCTTGAATTAGGCAATGATTTCTTACGCATGACACCAAAAAGTAGGTAAATTGGACTTCATCAAAATTTTAAAAACTTTTACACTTCAAAGGACATAATCAAGAAAGTAAAAGTATAACCCATAAAATGGGAGAAAATATTTGCAAATCATATATCTAAAAAGAGACATGTATCCAGAATATATAAAGAACTCCTACAATGCAACAATAAAAAGACAACCCAACCTTAAAAATGGGCTAAGGATTTGAGCAGATATTTCTCGAAAGACAGCCAGTAAGCACATGAAAAGCGGCTTGATATCATTAGTCATCAAGAAAACGCAAATCGAAATCAGAATCAGAGACCACTTCATTCCCACTAGAGTAGATATAATCGAAAAGATGGCCAGTAACAAGTGTGGTTGTGATGTGAAGATCTCAGTATTCTCACACATTGCTGATGAGAATGTAAAATGGTACAGCCACTTTGGAAGACGGCTTTGTAGTTTCTCAAAAAGCTTAGCACAGCATGACCATGTGACGCAGCAATTTCACTCCTAGGTACACACACAAAAATACTGAGATATACGTCTACACAAAAACTCGTGTATGTATTCACAGCAGCATTAGTCACACGAACTAAAAGGCGGGAGCAATCAAATGTCATAACCAACGAATGGACAAACAAAAGGTGATATTTTCATACACTAGAATATTATTGGACCCTAAAAAAGAATGAAATACTGACAGATACGACAACATGATGAAGCTGGAAAACATTTTTCTAAGTGAAAGAAGACAGACGCATACCGTATGCTACCATTTATATGAAACGTCCAGACCTGGCAAATCTATACAGACAGAAGGTAGATTAGTGGTTGCCAGGGGACAGGGGAGCGGAGAATGGGGAGTAATTGCTAATGAGTGTAGGCTTTCTGTTGGGGGCAATGAAAATGTTCTGGCGTTAATGGTGATAATTGTACAACCTTTGAATATACCAAATCAACTGAATTGTACCCTCTAAAAGGGTGAACTTCACTATGTATGAATTATATATCAATTTTTTAAAAACCAATAAATGGAGCTTTAGCTACATTTGATTTTTCAACATCTTCTCTGGTTTTGTGTTGAAATGCCCTTGGATTTCTGCAAGGAAAATCCTCCAAGGAAAATCAGACCATAACCAAAAATCCATTCATTTAAAAGTACTATTTTTGATTTCCAGTTGAGGATGGGCCATAAATCCAGATCACAGAGCGTCTCCCCCAGTAATTAACACAATGAACAAAAAATAATTCACAGATAAGCAAATCCACACACTCACCAGCAGCAAGAGAAGGAAAGGAGAAACGTCACTGCTCAGACAGGGAGCGCCGAGGACTCTGGCGCAGCTGGGTGGACCCTAACGATGCCACACTGCCCCCAAGCTCACCTGGCCCCATCTCCACCCCAAAGCAAAGAAGCTCAAGGTACCAGATCCTCGTTCCCTCAGAAAATATGTCCCCATTTGGAGAGACGTGGCCTGAGGGAGTAAACAGAAAACCCAAGGAGAGTGCCTCCAAAATAGAAGCTCCACCCTGCGGGCCCCTGGAACCTCAGCATCTCGGAAGGAAAACCTGCCAGCGTCAGAACCTGGTGCATGCAGGGTTCTCCCAGGGCCCCGGCTGCCCCCACCGGAGGAATGGAGCCACCCCAAGGAGGAACCCCAAGGAAGGCCACCCTGTCTCCCTCTCTCAGACCCATTCAGTGGACACAGGAGTGGCCATTGGACAAGGTGAGGTGGACGTCAGGGCAGTCACCACAGTAGGAAGCTACAGGCAGGGCCCTCGTTACCGCTTTGGTTTAGAAATTATACGGGGACACTCGCATTTGGAATCAACGTCTTTCTCCGTGGATAAGATCTTGTCTACTTCATTTTCTTTCCCCAGAAGTCCTTCAAACTTTATTATATAGAAATATATACAGGACTTGATACCTTAAGTATATTGCCAGAGAAGCATGGTAGTTAAATTACCTGCTCCCCACTCATTTTTGTACATATTATTTTAATGGTATGTATTTGACTTTATGCAACATTTCAAATATAGGAAAGCATAATAATTAACACAAAAGATACCTATGCATCCAGCACCGAGATTAAATGTGTTAAACCTTTTGCTCTGTTACATGCTTCCTTTTTTTAAACGAAATAAACTTTGTCAAACTTCGTTTAGATGGATAGATAGACGATATTAACAATAAAATGTCAACGGTAGAATCTAGATGGTGAGTATATAGGTGTTCGCTGTAAAGTTCTTGTGTATATTGGAACATTTTCATTATGAAATGTTAGGGAGGAAAATACACTTGACAAACACAGCCAAACCCAACGCATCCCCACCCCTGCCCCATCCTCGGATATCTTAGAGTTGGTGTATAATATTCTTGCGTGTTTTTATACTCTTTCTATACATGTATTTATCCACAAACTGCATATTTATTATTTACATGTTTTTAAAATGTTTATAAATGGTTCATACCTTTTTGCAATGGTCTTTTCCACTCCATTATAAATTGTGAGATTTATCCTGGTAACACATGTATACTGATGAGTTCTTTTAAACTACTATGTCCCATTACATATAAAATAAAAAATGTGTTTCCCCACTCTCCTACCAAGGGTGTTCGGGTTGCTGCGTGCTCTGCCTCTAACCCTCCTTATACACATCTTCCTGTCCCGGCTTGCTGAAGTTGTTACGGCAAGTGTTACAGTGACCGGTCCCAGGGGAATAACCGAGCGAGAGAGTTGGAGAGTCAGTGTTTAATCTCTTAACGCCAGCGGGCCCAGAGGAGACAAGTCTCCAAATTCTGAGCACCTCTTCCTGGTTTTTGTCAGGTTTTATATTTTTGGGGGGGGGTTAGTCTTATCCAATAACACACACAAGTATAAAAGTTAACCAATTAGTAAAAGGATTAAAAGTTAGCCAATTAATAGCAGTTTTTACATGCAGTACAGTTATGATAGGCTTATAACAAACAGTATAGTTATGATAGGTTTACAACAAGCAGTACAGTCATGACAGGCTTATAACTCTGCTTAACTGTTTTGTGGTTTCAGCTAGCTGGTGCATATTCTACCTACTTGCTCTACCTAGCTGCTTTGCGGTTTTAAGCAGAACTGGCATGGAAATTCCCCAACAAAGTTTCCAGCAACCTGGAAAACACAGGTCCTTCACAGGCACCTCTGAAATGAATGTCTTAAAGGGAATTTCTCAGCAAATAAGGGAAAGTCTTCATAATAACAAAGGTAAGGATAGACACTAACTTTATGACTAAGTCACAGAATGTAGCTTTAGAGGTTGGAAAAAGTAAAAAGTAAATTTAGAAGTAAAGTTTTGTTTACAGTGAACACATCAAGTTCAATCAAGGACAGAACACTGGATGACCAACATGACCCATATTATTTTTTTAATGCTTTATGCGGCATGGAATATTCGTGCGTCCTGAGGAAACTCGATGTTAGAACCCGAACATTTTTTATAATAAATAGAATATCTCACAATTCCTGTTCACATTCACTGTTTCATTTAACACTTGAAAAAACTGTCAAGCCAACTGTTATTATTCCTATCTCAAAGAACTGCTGAGACCCAGAGAGTTTAGGGAACTTGCCCAGGGCCACACAGAAGGTAAACAAACTACAAAACTGTTAAGCTGCAAAGGCCACGAAGCAGGAACCGTGCTGGTGGCCAGCGCCGTGCCCCACGGAGGGAGCCTCCTGCGGCACGACTTTGGCTAATCATGAGGACAAGAACAAAGGGATGCGTAGAACCTGCGGTGACACAGACCCAAGGAGGTAACATATGGAAGCATCATGTGGTTGCAGAGGAAACAGAACAAAAAATTATAACGAAGTAGCTTTTCTGTAACCTTGGCTACCATCACTATAGTTTCAAGAAAATGTTTTTCTACACATTCAAAGCGTCATCCATATGTTGGCTTCCATCTGTTGGTTTCCTGTGCCACAGCCCAGCACCGACCAGGTGTCCCAGAGCCCTGTGACTAATTGTGCCTCTCCAGAGCACACATCAGAAGGGCTTAAGAGGAAAGGTCACAAAACGCAGAGAGGCTGCCACAAATGGTGTCACAGCGCTACTCACCGATCATGGAGAGCAGGGATCTTGGTAGGACACTGCAAATACTGCTTAAACCGGAGCTCAAAGGCTTGTCCGATGGAGCCAATGACATCTTGGGCCAGCCCGTCACAGCATTCCAGAATGTGGCAAGCTGGGAGATCAAGGGACACAGGCCCGTTAGAGACAGACACTGGTGCTCCCCGAGCTCCTTTATGAAGAGCCCTTCCTGAGGACAGAGAGACTAAGAGGTACATGCTTCCTTCATAGTACGTCCTAGCCGATCTACGTGGAGACAGCATCTTGCTCTGTTGCTCAGGCTAGAGTACAGTGCCGTGGCGTCAGCACAGCTCACTGCAACCCCAGACTCCAGGGCTGAACTGATCCTCCTGCCTCACCCTCCTGAGTAGCTGGGAATACAGTTCTGTGCCACCATGCCCAGCTATTACTTTTTTATATTTTGTAGAGACAGGGTCTTGCTATGTTGCTCAGGCTGGTCTTGAACTCCTGGCCTCAAATGATTCTCCAACCCTGGCCTCTCAAAGTGCTGGGATTACAGGCATGAGCCCAACCTATAGGTTCCATTTTAAAATACATTTTAAAATTTTCAAATTCAAATTGATGGTTCTTCAATTTCTTTAGATTTTATAAAACATCAGTTCTGACCTTCACAGAGAGGAATGTTTAGAAGGAGACCTCAACACGACAAACAACCTGATCTTGGCATGAACCAAGTCTCCTTAGGGCCCAAGAGGTTTAAAAAATGGACTTAAACTGGCATCTAGTCAATGAATCTTGATCTGTTCAATGGACTTAGAGCAAGTTGTTCACTTGGTGGGAGTAAAATGTTGACCACCAAACATGGCCACTCGAAACAAACTCTGAAGAGGAATGTAAAGTGATACTAATTATCAGCATGAACACCCCAATAACATGCCACTTGCACCTACATAAATTTAAGACTGGTTATTCAGGCAGATTCTCAGAGAAGCAGCTCGTGCAAAAGAGTAGATAAAAGTTGGACGTGTCAGTGGGTCAGAACGACGGCCACTCCGAGGCCAGAGGGGAGGCCTGGAGCAGTCCTTATGCTCAACAGTAGGCGCCAGCTGTCACGAGAGGACATGCTGTCCTGGCAGCAAGGCTGTGGCACAGTCTCCTTCAGGGACAAGGGTGCTCCAGCCTCTGCCTCACAAGAAAGCAGCACCTCCTCTCCAGGGCCTCGCCGTGCCTCTGTCCTGGGCACACATCCGCAGTGCCCCCCAGGAGCATCCACCTGTCCCCCACAAAGGGGCTACGGATCTGATGCTGTGGCCAGCCCAGTGTGATCTTGCTATGAACAGGGTAAAGGGATTCTCCTTGGAGAGGATGACAGCTGCTTCTGTCACACCTTTCTCTGGCCGACAGTCACAGCATAATGGTACATCAAGGAGGGTTCCTCCAGGAGCCCCACTGGTCCCTGCGCAAGGAGGATGAAGTTCTATATGAGTGGTTGTTCCCTGGCACCAGCAGTGATTAGGGAGACACTGAACTGTGTCATAGGAGAAGACAGTACACACCAGAAAGAGGCCTCATGAAACAGGAAAACTGTTCAGAGAGGGGACGAGCACTGCCAGCCCCAAACACTGTGGCAGCCCATCATAACGCTGCACTAGGAACGCGCCCAGAGGCAGCCAGCCAGGCCCTGGGGCCTCAGCTTCTTCTCTCCCAGACTCCAGGGCAGGTGAACTTCTGTGGACACCAGGAAAGGTACTTTCTGGGAAGAGCAAGTGTGAATGTGTTGTTGCTTCGGATGGCCATGCAACCCCTCAGATACAGCGGTCCTATTTTAGGTGCCACCAGGAAAATTGTCCACAAAGGTACAGGTGTCCTGGCTGTCTTTTTATGATTAATTAGTGACATTATTATTTATTATCGACTTGGGTAGTCACAATGCAAGCCCACACTAATCAGCTGTTACAGTTGTACAGGTTGTTGACTGACATGAATCAAAGCATCTTTCCAGCTAAGAAGGGAGTAGGCATCCAGACCCGAGTGCAGGAGAGACAGAAAGACATGCTGTCCCCCTGCCTGTCCTCTGGCTTCCAGCCACAGCCCCCCGGTGCCTGCTGTCCAGCATCAGCGCCAGCCAAGGGAACTGGCTGGTCAGTACTTTGGGGAACCAGAAATAACCCTGGGAAAGGGTCAAAAAGTGAAACCTATTTTTCTTTTAAGGAGAAAATTGGTACCTTAATCTTTAAAATGAAGAATGAAGAGTAAGAGTTACTCAGAGTGGGCTGTGCGATCTCATCCTCACGCCAGAAACCTTCCATACGCCCAAGAGCAGGAAGCGTAAACGAGTCATCTCTGAGTAGGTTCCTGCACAGTTGGAGCCACCCAGCTTCTGGGCAGAAGCACCCTAGCGTGGGGAGAACGGGCCCTGTCAAAGTGACAAACAGGGTGGCAGACCCAGGACTCTCAGGCACTAAGTCGTGACTCTCGGTCCTGGTACCTGGCAGAGTCCTCAAATGAACTGAGGAAGTGCTGTCATCTGTTGGTTTGGTCTGAAGATTGCTTCCACAAAACAGCCTCTATATGTTCCAGAAACTCACTTCAGATCCCAACTGAAACCTGGACTTTGTCTCTCTGGGGTTGGTATTTTCTCTACGAGTATCGCCACAGTCTTTAGCCAAAACCCACCAACTTCTAACCTGCCCTGCGAAATTAGGTGTGTGCATCAGGTGAGGAGGCCTTTGCCCACAGGGGGTCACCAAGGCTGCTGGGCTCTGCTGGGCTTCACCCCTCCATGAGGAGGCGACACAAACAAAGGCACAGTTCATGAGCAGTGGAGAAGAAATTGACGAGAGATGTACAGCGCGCTGTGCACGGAATCGCGCTCAAACAATGCGAAATCTCAAACATGGCTCAAAACAAACAAAGCAGCAGCAAAACGGAGTCATTCCATGTTCTCGCTCGTTTGGAGAATACCAATGGCCTGCAGCCGTGTCATGTGCCTAAGGGTACGGCTCGTTTGCAACGCTGGTCTCTCTCTTGTTTAGCCCTGACAATAAGAAATGCTGAAGTCAGTCTCCAGGAGAGTTCGTTAGCAGTTCCTGGGCCAAATGCGTTGATGTTGCGAGTGAGTTGTCTTCTTCAAGCATCTCGACAACTTTTTGCGGAGAAAACACTTCCACAACCAGCAGGATGCAGAAAATGCTCTCCAAGAGTTCGCTCGAATCCTGAAGCACGTATTTTTACGCCACAGGAATAAACAAATTTATTTCTCGTTGGCAAAAATGTGTTGATTGTAATGGTTCCTACTTTCATTAATAAAGATGTGTTTGAGCCTAGCTCTAATGATTTAAAATTCACTGTCCAAAACCACAATTACTTTTGCACCAACCTAAATAAATGTATCAGTCAGCTCTGAGTTATCATCTGTAGTATAATATAATCCCTAGTTTACGGTTTCTCCCTGAGAGGTTTAGTTCAGTCAATACTAGTTAGTAAAAGCTGTGAATCCACTTCACTAGGTCGCTTCACTCCCGTCGCTCCTCACACCAGGCTGGCAGCGGAGCACCCGTCTCCTGCACTAAGCCCCTCTGCACCCCTCGCTGGTACATTCAGAAGGTGTGTCCTGGGGCGCTGCCCCTCTTCTCCGCTGTGGTGGGCGAACGCTGCCCTCAGTTGTCAGATTGGAACTAACTGTGAATAGAAGCTCCAGCCTTTGTTCCCTCCACGATGGGCTGCTTCCACACCCCTGGCACGAGCGTCCGTGCGCGCCTGTGAACACGGGACTCTGCTGAGTGAGGGCAAAAAGCTGCCTGGTATCTGAGCTTCCCTCTTCAGGAAGTCACACTCCCTCCAGCGCCCTCCCCCCCGCCCCACCCCACGCTGAGCACGCTGCAAGGGTCCCAGGGCAGCTGGCTTCTGCAGGAGGCTGTTTGGGGCTCACCACCATCCTCTTAGCTAGACACACAGACGCACCAACAGTTCAAATTCACAGCCGCGATCTCGAGCAGCTGGCCATAGGCATAGGAAGCCCTGGAGACATTCAGAGTCATTACTCAAGTGAGGAAAAATCCTGCTAAGCACTGTCTGCTATCTTTTCATCTCAGTGAGCTGATAACCCACACCCTTTAAAAGAGATGTTGAAAACTAATGAATTCTAACCAGACAGATACTCCCCAAACTCAAACAGAGTTCTCAGCCAACCCTGGTCTGTTTATTCAACATAGCCATGCATTCTTCATTGTACCAGATTTTTTGATCAGCGATAAGAAATCCAAGATTCAGCTGCTATGCTATGAAGACTTAATCTTAGTATGTGTCCTAGTCCCAGATTAAAACTATAAGGAGATAGCATTTTTCACCCATCAGAGAGGTAGAAATTTACAAATCTGAAAGTGGCAAATGTTGAACAAAAGGAGCCCTCTTATACTACTCGTGGGATTATAAAGTGAAATGACGATTTCAGAAGAGTCGAAGATGCCCAAAGATAGTGATTCGGCCTCCAGGTATATACCCTAAGAAAATTCTTGCAAAGGAGCAGAAAAGAGTATGTACAAAATATTTCCTGAAGACTTCATTGAGCAGCCATTCATCGAGTAGCTACCATGCACGCAGGCCCTGCCCCAGGACAGCGGGGTAGACCAAGAAGCGAAGCAGAGCCTCTGCTCCCACCAAGCGTGTAGTCCGGACGGTGGACACAGAAAGTAAAGAAATAAAACTATACCACTACGTGGGTTGAATGGTGGCCCCCAGGAGACACGCCCACATCCTAACTCCCTGCAACCTGTGAAAAATGGTCTTTAAAGATGCGATTATGTTAACGATCTTGAGACGAAATCGTCCTGGATTAGGGCGGGCCCTAAATCCAGTGCCAGGTGTCCTCGTAAGAGACAGAAGAGGAGGAGGTGATGTGAAGACTGAGGCAGAGAGTAGAGCTACGCTGCCACAAGCCAAGGAGTGCCCGGGGCCACCAGCAGCTGGAAGGAGCAGGGAAGGATCCTCCCCTAGAGCCTCTGGCGGGAGTGCAGCCCTGCAGCACCTGATTTCAAACTTCCGGCTTCCAGAATGCTGAGAGAATACATTTCTGCTGTTTTAGGCCACCTAGTTTGTGACAATTTGTTACAGCAGCCGTAGGAAATGGATACAATGAAGACATAAAATAAAGGA